CCCGTGACCCCAACTCCTCCCGAGGCTGAGCCCTGCGCGCCGCGGTTCGAAGCCAGCCCCGGGCAGGAGCAGCGCGCAGGCCCCGAGCTCAAGGCCCGGGTCCGAGACCCACACTCCCCCCCCACACACACACCTTACACACACACTCACACCTCACACACACACACGAAAGAAGGTGCAGACACACATGTCCCCGCCGTGCGGTCGGACAGGCGGGGTCTGGTAAGTCAGGTGCGGCAGGGTTGCCAGGCTCCGGCCCGCCCGGCTCAGGCCCCGCACAGCGGCCGTCTGCGGCCTGTTCTGCGGCCTGTTCTGCCTGCTTCTGCGTCTCTGCTCCCCTTGGAGTCTCGCACAAAAGCCTCCGGGTCGCTGGAGCGCACAGGCCCAGGACTCCTGGTCCAGCTTGGTATCACCCCACTTGTACTTTGCAGAGGTGTCTGTTCCCCAGGAAGGTGGAAGCCGTGGCTGTTTAACTCCCCACTGCTTTTCTGACACTAATAGTTCCCAACTCGCTCCTGGACGTGTGGGGCCAGACAGGCGCCCTGGGCAGGGGCATGGCTAGCTCCGTAGCTGTTGTAGGGGGAACGGGGGGCAGCACCGCGTGCCCCTCTCTGGAGCCCGCGCTTTTCCTGGAGTCAGGGTGAGGCGGGTAGGCACATTCTGTTCAGATGTGAAGGGTCAGGCCATTGGGCTGGGGCCATCGGAGTCATGGACGCAGGAGTCCTAAAGGAGAACTTCCTGCTACAGATCGCTGTCCAACCCCAGGCGTGAACTCACAACTCTTCCTTTCAAGGCATGTCCTGGGTGGGTAGCTCCCCAAGCGCTGCCTGATCCCACCTAGTCTCCATCTGACTTCCGTCCCCCCCCCCCCCCCCCCCCGCATCTGTGCAGCCACTGTCCCAGCTGCAGGATTGATAGAAGCTTCTGTCCTCTGGGAGTTCTGTGTCACTGAGGAGAGGAAGACCCACAGAACTACAGACAAACGATCCCTTTCGGGTTGTGGAGTGCAGAGGGTGAAGTAGAAAGTTTCTGAGCTGTTCCACCCTGAGTTGAGAGCTGTGTGTGAGCGCAGAGCTCCGGAGAGGGCGGTGGCGGCAGTGAAGGTGGATGATAGAAGAGAAGGCCACCCAGGGGAGTTCTCGGGTGCCGGGTGGCCACAGACTGGCCTCAGGGAAGGGAGGACACCTTTAGAAGCTGTAGAGAGAGGTCACAGAGGGCCTGGGACCCCCAAAGAGAGCTGGCTACGGCCACTTTGTTTCTCATTTGGTAAAAAATGGTCATGGGAAGCTGGCGCCAATGGCTCCTGCCTGTCATCCTAGCTACTCAGGAAGCTGAGTAGTCTCACAGACTTTTCTGCTCGGGCTGGCTTTGAACCGTGATCCTTTTATCTCCAATTAACCACTAGAAAACTGGAAGTGGTGCTGTGGCTCAAGCAGTAGAGCACTCACCTGGAGCTGAAGACCACAGGGACAGCGCCCAGGCCCAGAGTTCAAACCCCACAATTGACCAAAAAATAGGTCACGGGGGAACTTAGGATGTGGACCCCAGGGCTGACAGATGGCTGGGCAGGGTGGTTAGGGTCCCAGAGCAGACTTGCCTTGGGTTTCTGTGAGGAATGAGGCAGCGTGGGCTGTTTACCCTTTGGGGTGTGAACCTGCTCTGGGATGAACTGGACAGAAGTGTGGTTGCAGTGTTGTGGTCACTCTTAAAATCGCAGATGGACTAAATGCCACTGAACCGGTCAGTTTAAAGTAAAGTAGCTCATTTTACGTTGTATGATTTTCACCAAAGCTTAAAAGAAAAAGGAACGGCAGTGCAGGCGGCTCGCAGGTTAAGGGGAAGGCAGGGTAGGCAGACAGGCATTTGTGAGGAGCTGCAGGGAACAACCAGTTGGACCTGCTCTATAGAAACACTGGCTTCCTGCCCTTCCCTGGCCCACTCCCTTGGGTGGGCATGAGATCCGTGTCCACAGCCAGACACCCCTCAGAGCCACACCTGCCCATGCCTGCTCAGAGGTCCAGTTGTGACACTGAGAATCCATTTAGAATGTTCTAGAAGAAGTCACAGAGAACACCCCCAATCCCCCCACACTAGTAATGAGCAGGCAGAAGCCCTAGTCGGACCCCCCCCAGTTCCTCCACCCACTGTCCTGCGGCCCTCTTTGGGGGACCTCAACATCCACCTCTCACTCCATCTTTACCAGGCGCTAGCATCCCGCCTTCAAGACTCAGCCAAGGCCTGCCCCAGCCCCCAGACTCTGGCGGAGCCCTGAGGAGGTTTAGTTCATGGCAGTTATCTTTGTCTTGCTGTGTTGGGATGTGGATCTGCCGGGTCATCCTCCTGCTAGCTGCTGCCACCCTCCACACACACGCCCCTTGGGGGTTTCCCCAATGTCCTAACCTACCTATCCAGGTTACCAGAAATACCATCCCCGCCCTGGTAACACCTAGTCTGGCCAGGATACCAAAAACACTGTTGTATCGCCCCAGCATTGGAACCCACCCACATGCCTTGGCACGGAATGAATGGCTGCGGGGCTTCCTGGGGGCACAGCTTCTACCTGAGCTAACCTGGCAGTCCTGTAGAATATGCTACTTTCTCGGTTCTTGTTTCTATATTATCCTCTGAAGAAAGCATCTTCTTTCTTTTTCTTTTTTTTTTTGGGTCCGGTCATGGGGCCTGAAGTCTGGGCCTGGGCACTGTCCCTCAGCTCTTCAGCTCAAGGCTAGCGCTCTACCACTTGAGCCACAGCACCACTTCTGGCTTTTTTCTTTTTGCTTATGTGGTGCTGAGGAATCGAACCCAAGGCCTCAGGCATGCAAGGCAAGTGCTCTACCACTGAGCCACCTTCCCAGCTCCACTTTTTTCTTTTTTTCTTTTTCTTTTGTGGGTTGTGGGGCTTGAACTCGGGGCCTGGGCGCTGTCCCTCAGCTCTTCAGCTCAAGGCGAGCGCTCTACCACTTGAGCTACAGCGCCACTTCCGGTTTTCTGGTGGTTTATTGGAGATAGGAGTCTCATGGTCTTTTCTGCCTGGGCTGGCTTTGAACCGCGATCCTCAGATCTCAGCCTCCTGAGTAGCTAAGATTACAGGCGTGAGCCACTGGAGCCCGGCCCTTAAACGTTTCTTATTGTTAAATATTAAATGATTACTAAATAGGAATGTGAAAACCACGATGGGCCCAGGAGTTATCCTAATCTTCCCGGAATTTTTCCAAGAGTAGGAACTCTGGTGAACGGGGCTGACGGTTCACAAAGAAGGGGTGATCCTCCACCCCAAGATCCTCCCATCCCGTCATCGCCGCCTTCCGTAAGTCAGCCGGATGCCTGTGACTTCTAGGCTGGTGCCAAGCAGCCACCCATAGTGGCGTGCCCTGGCACAGCAGCAGAGCCCGGATGGACGTGCTGTCAGACCTGCTCGCCGGCTGCTGCTCTGCCCCACCCAGCCCTTGCCAGCCCACAGATGGTCCTCGCTGCTCAGGGGAGGACGGGGAGAGCCTGGAGTCTGCCCCCGAGAGCAGGCCAGCGTGCCAAAGGGACAGTGGCCAGGTAGGACAGGGATAACCCCAGGAGAGGGGAGAGGGCTGGCTTCTTCCTTACCAGGAGTGGAGGAGATACCTGGTCTGTGGGAAAAGGTCACGACAGCTCGTGTCATTGCTTGGTTTGAGTTCTGGGACATTCCCTGCTGCTGAGTTCCACACAGGATGGGCGGGACGGGTGGAAGAGCCCTGTGGCTTGTACCCTTCCCCACTGGACGCTGCGGGGATGTAGGAAGGAGAAGATTTCTCAGGCAGGTGCATAGTGCGTGAGACCAGCTGTCCTGCGGGGGAAGGAAGGCACCACCAGGCGTTCCTGGTACTGTGACACCAGATTTGGCCGAGGGGTGCACCCTACCCTGGTGACCGTCCGTCTGCCTTGTCCACCGTGGACAAGGGCTGTGAGCTTGCTCCCCCTCGTCCCTTCTTATTCTGGAGTCCAGCTTGGGGCAGGGGAGAGAACCTGTGCTTTCTCCTCCCTACTTCCCAGGTCAGAGTAGAGGCTGGCCTTCAGAGTCGGAGCACAAGGCTGCTGGGGCGGGGTTTGGACAGCCTGCCTCTCCCGTGCCCCCCACTCCTGTGGAATTGAGTGGCTGGTGATCTGAGGGCCCCGTGGGGAGTCTCTGGACCACACTGCTTTCTTTCTCGCCAGGACTAACATCCATCTAAACCAGAGGGGAATTGCTCAGCTCCCAGGACTACCATCTGTCTAAACCAGAGGGAAATTGCAAGGCTCTTCTCACTTTGTTTTCTGAGCACTTGGCAGAGGAGTCTCTGCCCTTCTGTCCCTCGCTGTCCCTGGGCCCACCCCTGGCCCTCTGCGCCGCTACTTCGTTCCTCCAAGCTTGGGGCAGGAAGTAGTTTTTCTTTCTTTCTGTGTGAAGGACAGTGATCCTCTCCCTTGGCAGGGCCATCATTGGCCTGGCGTTGAGTCCGGTGTGAGGGGAGGCGGTCAGCCACACGCTCCGTCATCTGAGGAAGCGGGAGGGGACCCCGGACTCTCCTGCAGGAGCCAGTCCTAGAGGCATTCCCGGAGGTCCCGTTCCCTCGGGAAAGTAGGGACACTGGAATGCGGAAGTGAGGGGGTGGGAAGAAGAAGGAGGCCAAGGAACACCGGTGTCCTGGAGACAGAGCACCTGCAGGGTGGAGGGCAGGGTCTGGGTAGGGCAGCTCTCTGGCTCATCCCCTCCTCCTCCCCCGTCCCTGGGCCCCTCACCCAGCATCTTGCTTTCCAGAGTTCTCTGCACAGACACTTAGGAGAAGGGGGTTAGTGGGACCCAAACAGGCCTGTGGACACTGGGTCCACAGCTGCCGTTGGCTGTCTTGACCTTCCCTGGAATGGAGGTCATCTGTTTTCTTCTTTCTCTCCACTGGCATTAGTCTCTGGGGCCAGACGGTGAGTTTTGGAGCCGGTCTCCTGGCGTGGCTTCCGGCCTTCCCTGCCAGCCGGATCCCAGGGCAGCCTGCAGAGAAGGATCCAGCGGCAGCACCCGGCTGCTGATGACCCTGGAGCTGCAGAGGGCTCCGCAGCGTGCATCCCACCACCAGGAGACCTGGCAGGATCGAGCCTGAGCTCCTCCTCGTGAGTGCTTGCTGGGCTTTAAGAAGGACCGTAATGGGCATCTGCAGCCGCCAGCATCCACGTGCATGCAAACTACCAGGGCTGCATTGTCCTGGCTTCCAAGGTTTCTTTTTTTAAAAAATTCAGATCACTTTAGGTGGCATTCCACTCTGTCTGGTGCCACCTGTCATGCCAAACCCAAAGAATCAAAGCGTGCAAGTTTATGGGGCTCAGAACGGCTCCCCACAGTGCCCAGAGGATGTCGGCGCTGTGAGATGAGGCCAGCTGCCCACTACCACCAGGCCAGCCATGGTTCCCTAGAGCCTGAGCCCACAACCGAGCCGTGGGAGGGACACAGGCAGTCGGGTGCCAGGGCCTTGCGCGGGCAGCTGGCGCAGCGCTCTGTGCGGGCCCCAGCAGGCCTTTCTTTTTCTTTTGCTGGTCATGGGGCCTGAACTCTGGGCCTGGGCGCTGTCCCTCAGCTCTTTCAGCTCAAGGCGAGCGCTCTACCACTTGAGCGACAGCGCCACTTCTGGCTTTTTCTGCTTTATGGGGTGCTGAGGAATCGAACCCATGGCCTCATGCATGAGCCACCTTCCCAGCCCAAGCTGGCCTTTCTTTCCCCCGTCCTCCTGAGGGATTCCTAACCGACATCTTTCCCGCTCATCCCTCGGCACCATGGCAGCATGGCCAGGCTGTGTATCCGTGTCCGTCCTGTGCTTGCACAGAGAACGCATGTATAATCTGTGCCTCCAATAACTTTCACCCCCTGTGAGCCTTCCATACCTGTTTTGGAGGTTCTCAAGAAAATGGAGGTTCATAGCTGGGCGCTGGTGGCTCACGCCTGTAATCCTAGCTACTCAGGAGGCTGAGATCTGAGAATCGCGGTTCAAAGCCAGCCCGGGCAGGAGAGACCGTGAGACTCCTATCTCCAATAAACCACCAGAAAACCGGAAGTGGCGCTGTAGCTCAAGTGGTAGAGCGCTCGCCTTGAGCTGAAGAGCTGAGGGACAGCACCCAGGCCCAGAGTTCAAAAAAAAAAAAAAAAAAGAAAGATAATGGAGGTTTGGGGCTGGGAAGGTGGCTCCGTGGTAGAGCGCTTGCCTTGCATGCATGAGGCCCTGGGTTCCATTCCTCAGCACCACATAAGCAGAAAAGGCCAGAAGTGGTGCTGTGGCTCAAGTGGTAGAGCGCTAGCCTTGAGCTGAAGAGCTGAAGGACAGCGCCCAAGCCCAGAGTTCAGACCCCATGACTGACAAAAAAAAAATAAAATGGAGGTTTCCTTTGAGTAAATTGAGCTGAGTTTTTGTCTTACTTGGTTTTTGTGATGATAAGAGAATCATGGACTTTACTGCCTAAACTGGCTTTAAACCATGATCCTCCAGGCTTAGCCTCCTGAGTAATTAAGACTACAGGTGTGAGCCACTGGTGCCCAGCCTGGTTTTTAACGTCGTCATCATGGGTCAATTGGGTGTCTGAGCAGAAGCAGCAGACTCAGCTCACCCCAGGTGGGACCCACCTCCTCCTGCTTGCCCTGAGAGAGGACTCGGGAATGTCAGCTGGGGAGCGGGTGGCGAGGGGAGGGGTCTGCCTCTTAACTGGCCATGGACACTATGCCCAGGCAGGAAGCCGAGTGTGGACTACAAGGATGTCCTTCCCGCGCTCTGACATGTGCGTGGAAAGCCATCCTGGCCCCCAACACCAGTTCTCTGATTCCAGCTCCCTCCCGGCCGTGGGCATGGCGGAGCTGTGCCGCACGGACTCGCGGCTGACGGCTGTGGATGAGGAGACACTGTGGGAGATGATGGAGAGCCATCGCTACAAGATCGTGCGCAGCATCTGCCCCAGCCGCCTCACCCCCTACCTGCGCCAGGCCAAGGTGCTGGGCCAGCTGGACGAGGAGGAGGTGCTGCACAGCCCCCGCTTCACCAACAGCGCCATGAGAGTCGGTGAGTCCCGGTGGCCTTGGCTCCGAAACCCGGCTGCGGTGCAGAGCTCCTCCGCAGGCGTACAGAGCACAGGACTGGAATACCTTCAGGGCTGGAGTGCACACTAGAGGGCAGCACACCCTCAGTCCTACAGGGCTGGAGTGCACACTAGAGGGCAGCACACCCTCAGTCCTACAGGGGCCACCTAACACTGACCCCACGCACACACGGGTGGTTTCAAACAACTGCAGGTGGGAGTGGAGCTCACGGTCAGCACATGATTCACATGTGTGAGGCCTTGAGTTCCAGTCCTGGGCACTGGTGGCTCATGCCTGTCATCCTAGCTACCAAGAGACTGAGATCTGAGGATTCTAATTCGAAGCTGGCCCAGGCAAGGAAGTCCATGAGTCTCTTAGCTCCAGTTACCAGCAAAAAGCTACAAGTGAGCCGTGGCTCAAGTGGTAGAGCTCCAGCCTTGGTTGAAAAGCTAAAGTTGAAAAGTGCCCAGGCCCTAAGTTCCAGCCCCAGGACTGGGACATCACACCACCTATGGGTGGTGTCAGCCGGCCTGCTGCAGGCAGGGCTGAGCTGGCCCAGGGGCTTAGGGAGCACGCTCTGCCTCTTCCTGTGCCTGGTCGCTCCCAACTTGCCTTGGCTTGTGGCCCCAACATTCTCATCTTTGATCCTGTCTCCACATGGCTATCTTCTCTGTGCCCACTCCCCTCAGTCTCTTGCAAAGACCTTTGTCCCTGAGTGTAGGGTCTGTGTGTGTTTCCAGAATGGCCTTCCCTAATTACATCTGCACAAACCCTTTTCCTAAGACGCTGGCTTGGGCACATTCTGGGTGGATTCTGTTTTTTGGGATGTCTTGTTCTGATGATGACAGGCAGGCTGTGTTATTCATTCACCCATGAACGTGAAAGCCAGTGACTCCAGTGTAGAAATCGTGAGAAGTATGGGAGTTACCTTGATGCTCATTATACAGCCCGTGCTGTGGAAAGCAGGCAGGCAGCAGGGGCTGTTAACATGATAATGTGTGCACAGTGAGGTGCCCCAGGGCAGAGGGGTGCTACATCCACTGCCCCAAAGGCCACTGTGGTGGGCCATGTGTCTGTGTTCTCATGTGTATGCCCTGCTCTTAGCCAAGTGGTTCTTAGTAATTGCTCAGTAAACACAGGCCTTGTGGGCTCGAGCTGAGGTCACGTGTGTAAAGGGAGGGGAGAGCAGCGAGGGCCTCCCACCGTGGAGATCCAGGGAGCCGCTCTCACCTCCGGATCCCACAGGCACAAGGCTGCCCCGCCCGGCCTCCTCTCTGGTGGGGAAGCCAGCCTGGGCGCCCCGGCGCGTGCTCACGCACGGCAGCTCTCGCTCTCCAGGGCACCTGCTGGACCTGCTGAAGGCTCGAGGGAAGAACGGGGCCCTCGCCTTCCTGGAGAGCCTGAAGTTCCACAACCCTGACGTCTACACCCTGGTCACGGGGCTGCAGCCCAGCGTGGACTTCAGCAACTTCAGCGGTGAGAGCTTGGCTGCTGATGGATGGGTCCGAGGCCAGCTGGGCCGCGGCCCCCAGCGCTCCCTGCTCCCTCTGGATGCTCGTCCTTGCCTGAGTCCTTGGGCTCCCGAGTCCATCTTTAACCACCTAGTGTAGTGAGGAGAGCCCCGGGTGAGAGGAGGCTGGCCTTCCAGAGGCCCGGGCCCCGCCTCACACTGCTCGAGTGGAGGCAGGCAGCACAGTGCTGTCTGCCAGAAGGGGACTCGAGGCTCCTACCCAGGAGCAGGGGACCCAGGGCCTTCTGTACACCAAGCAAGTAAAGCTCCCACCTGCTCCGTGAAAATCGGCCTCGTGGTCACTCAGCAAGTGAGTAACGGGGCTTCCAGGGAGCAGCCACTGAAGGGTTTAGAAATGCGAAAGAGCAGGACTGGCCAGTGGCTCATGCCTATAATCGGAGCTACTAACTCAAAGTGAAGCAGCCTGCACAGAAAAGTCCATGAGGCTTTTGTTGTTGTTGCTGTTGTTGTGGGGCTTGAACTCGGGTCCTGGGTGTTGTCCCTGAGCTTTTTCACTCAAAGCTAGTGCTCTACCACTTTGAGCCACAGCACCACTTTCAGTTTTCTGGTGGTTAATTGGAGGTAAGAGTCTTGAGGGCTTTCCTTTCCTGGGCTGGCTTTGAACCACAGTCCTCAGATCTCAGCCTCCTGAGTAGCTGGGATTATAGGTGTGAGCTACTAGCACCTCCAATTAACCACCAAAAAGCCGCAATGTAGCTGTGGCTCAATGATAGTGCCAGCCTTGAAGCAATAAAGCTAAGAGACAGTGCCCAGTGCACACATGTGAGCACGCGCACACACACACACACACACACTCAGAGGCACATACACACCAGGGCTCTTAGGGATAATAAGTTGTCTCTTTTGTATGTTAATGTTCTATGCTTTTATTGGGAAGATACTGAAATTATTTTTGGTTTTTGTGTGTGTGTGTGTGTCCGGTCATGGGGCCTGAACTCTGGGCCTGGGCGCTGTCCCTCAGCTCTTCAGCTCAAGGCTAGCGCTCTACCACTTGAGCCACAGTGCCACTTCCGGCTTTTTTCTTTTTGCTTATGTGGTGCTGAGGAATCGAACCCAGGACCTCATGCATGCAAGGCAAGCGCTCTACCACTGAGCCACCTTCCCAGCCCAGATATTGAAATTATTAACTCTGGGCCAGGCACTATGACAGATGCCTGTACTCACAGCTGGTCAGGAAGTACCAATTAGGAGTGTGCTGGCTCAAGGTCACACAGAGAATTTATTGAGACCCCATCTCAATTAGTAAGTTGGGCATGGTGATTTACGCTCTTCAGGAGCTAGGATGGGAGCTGCAGATGGGAGGTTTCATACTTGGGGGAAAAACTTGACACTCTACCTGAAAAACAACTGAATTGGTAAAATACCTGTCTAGCAAATGTGAGGTCTTGAGTTCAAACCCCAGTACCACAATCCATCAATCCACCAATCAATGATTAGTTCTGAGCACTGGCAGCTAAGGAAGAGTTGGGTGTGGACAGTGGGCCCCCAAGGGGAGTGGAGAGGACAGTCCAGTGTCCCCGGCCACACTAGCCCGAGCACAGAGTCCAGTCAAAGCTGGAGGCTGTTAAGACAAGGAACAGGTCAGAGCTGGGGCCCTGGGGTCTGGAGGCAGGGACCATGGCTCAGCCACCTGCCCGCCTTCCTGCAGGCCTCATGGAGACGTCCAAGCTGACCGAGTGCCTGGCGGGGGCCATCAGCAGCCTGCAGGAGGAGCTGGCCCAGGAGAAGACACACAAGGAGTCCCTCCTGCGGCAGTACCAGCGACAGCAAGAGCGCCTGGGCCTGGCAGAGGCCCGCGCCAAGGAATTGAGCCAGCTGGAGGCCGACCACGGCCGCATGAAGCGGGAGGTGAGCGCCCACTTCCACGAGGTGCTGAAGCTGAAGGACGAGATGCTGAGCCTCTCGCTGCACTACAGCAACGCTCTGCGCGAGAAGGAGCTGGCCAGCACGCGCTGCCGCAGCCTGCAGGAAGAGGTACTCCAGACGCTGGACGCGGCGCCCGGCCGTGGCGTTCACGGCTCTGCCTGGCCCCAGAGGCTTGGCTGAGCCCCTCCCACCCCACCCATCCCACTCCTCCCCAGGTAGCCCCTCGCCCCTCTCTCTGTGTAGCCCGCATGGCACGCAGCCGCTGCTTCTCCTCGCGCGGTTCCGGGCTGACTGTGAGCAGCCCCACCCCGTGACGTCTGGCAAGCGTCTGATCTTCTGTGTCTCTAGGCCTGTGGGCCAGGCCCCGCCGTGCAGTGACCCGGGCTCCTCCATCTCTAGTTTCTGCCTTTGTCCTCCTCGGCTGGTTCTGAGTCTAGGCAGGGAGCGTGGAGGTGTTTTCAAGTCAGGCCGTCTAAGCCCCAGCGTTTTCTGTGCAAGGTGAAGTAACAGGTGTGGAATTCTTTCAACAGCAAGGCTGTTCCTGCCTGCCATGTTGGCTTTTTTTTGGTCAGTCGTGGTACCTGAACTCTGGGCCTGGGTGCTGTCCCTCAGCTCTTCAGCTCAAGGGTAGTGCTCTACCACTTGAGCCACAGCGCCACTTCTGGCTTTTTCTGCATATGTGGTGCTGAGGAATGGAACCCAGGGCCTCAGGCATGCAAGGCAAGCGCTCTACCACTGAGCCACCTTCCCAGTCCCCATGTTGGCTCTTTGCCTCTGTGTGTGTGGTGTGTGTGTGCGTGTGCATGTGTGTGCATGCACACACACACATGCACGTGCATGCCAGTACTGGGCTTGCACTCAGGGCCCACGTGGCTTGTCCTCTTAAGGCTGGCACTCTGCCACTTGAGCCGTGTTTCATTAAGGCATCTGTTTGTTTACTGGATGAGCCCTAAGCATGTGCTCAGCCACAGAGCCACTCCTGTCCATTTGTTTGCTTTTCATCTTTGAATTGTAACTTTTTTTTTTTTTTTTTGCCAAACCTGGGGCTTGAACTCAGGGCCTGGGCACTGTCCCTGAGCCGCTCTGTGCTCAAGGCTAGCACTCTGTCACTTGAGCCACAGTACCACTTCTGGCTTTTCTGCTTATGTGGTACTGAGGAATCGAACCCAGGGCTTCATGCATGCTAGGCAAGCACTCTACCTTAAGCCACATTCCCAGGCCCCTGAACTGTAGCTTTTTATTTAAAAATAATTTGTAATTAATTAAAAAAACTCACCCATTAAGCCAGGCATGGTGCCTTCTGCCTGTAGTCCTAGCTACTACATTCACCACCTTGTTGACAGGCCTTCCACATTTGAGGTTTGTGGCCCTGCACAGGACACACCTCTTGAGGCCCTGGAGGCCCTGCTGCCCCTTGGTATGTTCTGTCTACCAGTCTGGTGCTTTCTACACAGCCCTGGGCCCTGAAAGGCCCCGCAGATGCCTGTCGGAATGGCCCAGCTGTACCCCAGTGCCCCACTCCTAGCTGCCTTCACTGTCTTCTTTTTCCTACTGATTTTCACAAATCCCAGTTCCCGTTTTTTGTATTAGTTCTGGGGTTTGACCTCGGGGCCTGAGCTTTTGTGCTCAGGCGAGTGCTCTACTAATTGCGCCACAGCTCTACTTCCAGCTTTTGGCTGGTTAATTGGAGATAAGAGTCTCATAGACTTCCCTGCCTGGGCTGGCTTTGTACAGCAATCTCCAGATCTCAGCCTCCTGCATAACTGGGATTACAGGCGTGAGCAGCAGTCTTTACTATGAGTAAGGTGGAGCAATCTGCCCAGCGTGGACGCTCACTCACTCCCCCTCCCCCCGCAGCTGTACCTGGTGAGGCAGGAGCTGCAGCGGGTAAGCATGGTGTCTTCCTGTGAACGGGAATTTCGAGAAAGGTCCCTGAAGATGAGCAGCAACTCGGACCCTGAGGGCGAGGAGCTGAGCCGCCTGAAGGAGGAGAACGAGAAGCTCCGCTCACTGACCTTCAGCCTGGTAGGTGCCTGTGTCCCCGTGAGGTCACCGGGCTCAGGCCTGTGCGGTGCGTCCTCTGCAGCACTGCGCCTGCAGGCCCGTGCGTCCTCCGCAGCACAGCGCCGCGGTGTCCCCGTGAGGTGACCGGGCACAGGCTGGTGTGTCCTCCACGGCACAGCGCCGCGGTCTCCACACCCCGAGCCCACGTCTCCCCTCTTTCCTCAGCCCACTGAGAAGGCGGCAGAATGAAAAGCCGTAGAGACAGCTGGGCGCCAGTGGCTCATTCTGTAATCCTAGATCCTAGCTACTCAGAAGTCTGAGAGCTGAAAATCATGGCATGAAGCCAGCCCAGGCAGGAACGTCCAAGAAACTTTTGTGGCGTGCGCGCGCGTGCGCGTGCGCGTGTGTGTGTACCCACACATGTGCGCCAATACTAGGGCCTCTCTGTTTGCTTCTCTGTTCAAGGTTGGCATTCTACCACTTGACACAGCTCTACTTGGTTTCTTGGAGATGAGAGTCTCACAGACTTTCCTTTGAATCTCAGTCCTCAGATCTCAGCCTCCTGAGTAGCAGAGATTACAGGCAGGAGCCTGGCTTGATTCCTTTTATTGAGCAAGTGTCTAGTTAGTGAGAAGTTCCCTCGCTACTCCTTCGTGAGGGATGAATCGCGGCTGTGATTGGCCAGGGTTGTACCACTGCTGTCAGGAGTGTGCTGTGGGGTGGGGAGGGAGGACCCGCCCCCTGGCTCTTCCCTCCTATTGAACCTCTGCAGGTAGATAGCGAGGAAGCCAAAGAGACATAGAGCGAAGCCCTCACCCCTGGAAGTTTTAGTTTGCCTTGCTTTGTCTTTTTCTCATTTACAAGAAGTGCTGATCGCTGCTTTGTTCCTGCCCAGTGTACAGCCATGAGTCAGTGCTGCCCGTCTGCCCGCACCCCCTTCTCAGGACCCCTCTCCTCCAACCCCTGCCAGGTGTCGGGGAGGTCAGGGTCCTGGGCTGACCTCTTTCTGCCCTAGGCGGAGAAAGACATCCTGGAGCAGAACCTGGACGAGGCCCTGGAGAGTAAGCAGGAGCTGGTGAACCGCATCCACTCACTGCGGGAGCGGGCGGTGGCTGCAGAGAGGCAGCAGAAGCAGGTGACACGGCTGCCCCATGCCCTCTGACCCGGGGCAGCTGCCCCATGCCGGCTGTGGTGGCCCTCTGACCCGGGGCAGCTGCCCCATGCCGGCTGTCGTGGCCCTCTGACCCGGGGCAGCTGCTCCATGCCGGCTGTCGTGGCCCTCTGACCCGGGGCAGCTGCCCCATGCCGGCTGTGGTGGCCCTCTCCATGCCGGCTGTCGAGGCCCTCTCCATGCTGGCTGTCGTGGCCCTCTGACCCGGGACGGCTGCCCCATGCCGGCTGTGGTGGCCCTCTCCATGCCGGCTGTCGTGGCCCTCTCCATGCTGGCTGTCGTGGCCCTCTGACCCGGGGCAGCTGCCCCATGCCGGCTGTCGTGGCCCTCTCCATGCCGGCTGTGGTGGCCCTCTCCATGCCGGCTGTCGTGGCCCTCTCCATGCCGGCTGTCGTGGCCCTCGGGGCAGCTGCCCCATGCCGGCTGTCGTGGCCCTCTCCATGCCGGCTGTGGTGGCCCTCTCCATGCCGGCTGTCGTGGCCCTCTCCATGCCGGCTGTCATGGCCCTCTCCATGCCGGCTGTCGTGGCCCTCTCCATGCCGGCTGTCGTGGCCCTCTCCATGCCGGCTGTCGTGGCCCTCTCCATGCCGGCTGTCGTGGCCCTCTGACCCGGGACAGCTACCTCAGAGAGCTGACGGCTGCACCAGTTTGCACGAGAGCCACTGCTCTCCTTACCCAATGGCTGGCCCACCTCTCCCGAACTTCAGCAGAGCTTTATTGAGCATCGACTCAGGGCCTGGAGTAGACGAGGTCAAAGTCAGGCAAGGGAGCAAGGCCAGGGCGATGTCAAGGGCTCAGGCTGGACCCTGACATTTAGCCAGGGGGAGAATGAGGAGGCAGGGGACAGTGGGGAAGCATGTGGCAGCGCAGCAGAAATATTTGTATGTTTCTGGACATTTAAAAAAAACCAAACCTTTGGGCTGGGAAGGTGGCTCAGTGGTAGAGCGCTTGCCTTGCATGCAGGAGGCCCTGGGTTCCATTCCTCAGCACCACCGGAAGTGGCGCTGTGACTCAAGTGGTAGAGGGCAAGCCTTGAGCTGAAGAGCTGAGGGACAGCGCCCAGGCCCAGAGTTTAGGCCCCACGACCAACAAACAAAAAAACCCTTTTCATGCAATAGACATGCAAGTTGTGCTGATTGAATTTAATATGCTCATCTCTGTGGCTCTAGAGACACATCTCAACCTAGTCCTAAGAAAGAGCCTCTAGCTGCCTCTAGAACCCCCTCGGGAACCTCCCGCTCCCCTGGCTCTCTCCCCACCCACTCCCCCATCATCGGGGCCTCTGCTGCTGACCTCTGCCGCCCTGTCCCCCGTCCAGTACCTGGAGGAGAGAGAACAGACCCTGCTCCAGTTCCAGAAGACACAGGTGGACTGTGAGCTGTACAGAGAGAAGATGAGCACGCTGCAGAGTCAGGTGGCCGAGCTGCAGAAGGAGCGGGACCAGGTAGGGGATGGGGGCGGGGGACGCCAGGCCAGGGCCTACCCATGTGCACCGGGCCACCCTTGCTGGGATTGAGCTACAGAAGCCTCTGTCCCCTCCACTGCCCACACGTGTGTCTGGGGGAGGTGGAGCGCTGCTGGTTCAGGGCATAGTCTTGCCTTCGCCCATCCTTCATGGCAGCTGCTTCCAGATTTCAGAGAGAGAGAGAGAGCGGTGCACACGGGTCCTAAGGCTTGAACTCAGGGCCAGGGTGCTATCCTTTAGCTTTTATGCTCAAGGTTAGCACTCTACCACTGTGGAGCCACAGCTCCACTTCTGGCTTTTTGGGTGGTTCATTAAAGCTAAGAAGAGTCTCATTCACTTTCCTGCCTGGACTGGGTTCGAACTTCAATTCTCAGATCTCAGCTCCTGAGTAGCTAGAGCAACAGGCGTGAGCCACCAGTGCCTGGCTCATGTGAGGCTCCCTAACCACCAACCCCCCAATCTGAGCATGCTACTGTGCCTCTCCCTCTGCTTTATCCCTGGCACAAAACATTGAGAAAGTGCACCCCAGAGACTAGGTTCTAGCAAAATCACATAGGTGTACAGGCACTGGAGTGGATTGTTGGTTTTTTATAGTTTGTTTTTTTTTTTTGTCAGTCATGGGCCTGAACTCTGGGCCTGGGCGCTGTCCCTCAGCTCTTCAGCTCAAGGCTAACACTCTACCACTTGAGCCACAGCGCCACTTCCGGCTTTTTCAGCTTATGTGGTGCTGAGGAATCGAACCCAGGGCCTCATGCATGCGAGGCAAGCTCTCTACCACTAGGCCACCTTCCCTGCCCTGGTTTTTTAGTTTTTATGGTCAGCAGGATGGTTTCTGGGGCTACGACCCCTGCTGGCTCATTGGCCCTGCCCCTCACTGTCCACGCCCGTCCGTCCTGTCTGGGCAGGCATACGCGGCCAGGGACGGGGTGCAGATGGAGATTTCCCAGAGCCTGACGGAGAAGGACTGCCTCCGCAGGAGGGTGTTTGAGCTGACTGAGCGGGTGTGCGAGCTGCGCACCCAGCTGCGCAGGCTGCAGGAAGAGCCCCCCGCAGGGGTGAGTGCTGGGGCCTCCGCTGGGGGGAGGGGCCGCCCGTGGGCCTGGGGCACTGGCATTCACCCTGCCGCTTCTGCCTCCTCGAGCCGGACACGGCGCGATCCATCATGCTGCACATGGTTCAGAGCCGGAGGCCCTGGAGCCCGTGACGTGGCGCGTGGGGAGGGAAGAGCTGTGAACCCGCCCACACGCACACGTGTGCCTGGCTCATGACACAGCACAGTGCTGCCCAGGACCAGGAAGTATCGGGAAACCTGCTGGGGTCCGGCACCTGGGCGAGCGAGGTGCAGCAGGGCCACGGGCCCCGGGGGAGGCAGTTGGACCCACACAGGACGGCTCAGCCTCCAGCCTTCCTCCTCACTGCGCAGGCGTTCCCCAGCCAACTACCCTCCACACACCAAAAGAGGGATGGGGCGGGGGACAGGCAAGACCAAAATGCAAGCGGTTATGTTAACCCTTAGTTTTGAGCGTGGAATTAGGGTGAATTGGTTCTGTTCCCCATATTCTACAATAGACGTATTTTTTTTACATACAGTTTTTTGTTTGGTATTACCAGAGTTTGAACTCAGAGCTCACACTTGCTCAGTTGGCACTCTACCACTTGAGTCATACCTCCCATTTGACATCTTGCTGGCTATTTTGGAGACGGAGTCTTATAGACCTTTCTACCCATGCAGGCCTCCAAACTTGATACTTAGGTCTTAACCTCCTGAGTAGACATGAGCCATAGGTGCTTGGCAACATTAAAAAAATTTAAAGCTAACAAACAGCAATGTATGGTCTCTAATAAAAGAAATGCTTCTAGGGCTGGGAAGGTGGCTCAGTGGTAGAGTGCTCGCCGTGCATGCATGAGGCCCTGGGTTCCATTCCTCAGCACCACATAAGCAGAAAAAGCCAGAAGTGGCGCTGTGGTGCTGTGGTTCAATGGTAGAGCTCTAGCCTTGATCTGAAGAGCTGAGGGACAGTGCCCAGGCCCAGAGTTCATGCCCCACAACTGACAAAAAAGAAAGAAAGAAATGTTTCTAGTCTTCCTGGTGAGTCGGTTCTGGGGCTGTGGGCTTCTGAGCTCCGAGGAGGGACACAGTTGTTTACCTGGGAGCCGAGGACAGGTCTGCCCCGGAAGGGGGTGTGATCTCGTGGAGGGCCTGGGTAGGCCTGGGTGCGTTCAGGGTGTTGTCCTTTAGCTGTACACTCAAGGCTGGCACTCTGCCCTTGAGCCACAGCTCCACTTCTGGCTTGCTTGGTTTCCTGAGTGAAGAGCTGTCTGGCCCATCTTTGGCAGCCCAGACAGGAAGCCAGGGCCAAGGAGCTGTGTCCGCGGGGGAAGCAGCGGCTGGTGCGGATGCACGCGGTATGCCCGCAGGAAGACAGCGAAGACGGTGGCCAGCTCAGCAGCCTCAGCTCCATGGAGGTACCCTCCCCTCCCCCTTCCTGCTCAGCCCGGAACATTCTCTATCAGGACTGAGGGGGCTGAGCCACCCTGTTTCCTGCAGAAGAGGTCAGCACCATGGAGGGGTCAACCAGAGAAAACTGATGTCCTGTGGTGCTGGGGGCTGGACATTAGGGATCAAGGCACCACAGGGCCACACTCTCCGTTGCTCTTGGCGAGTCTGGTGACTCCTGGCAAGCTTCCACTGGCACCGGCATAGCTGTGATCCCAGCTCCATCCCACATGGTGTTTCCCCATGTTTCTGCCCAGATTTTTCTCCTCTTAGATCATGTAGCAGTCACATCTGGGCGCTGGTGGCTCACACCTGTCATCCTAGCTACTCAGGAGGCTGAGATCTGAGGATCTCAAATCAAAGCCAGCCTAGGCAGGAAAGGCCATGAGACTCTTATCCCCAATAAACCACCAGAAAACCAGAAGTGGCGCTGTGGCTCAAGTGGTAGAGCACTCGCCTTGAGCTGAAGAGCTGAAGGACAGCGCCCAGGCCCAGAGTTCAAGCCCCACAATTGACACACACAAAAAAAAGTGTAGCAATCAGCAGCTTTCTATTATTGTGACAAAAATGCCTGAGATAAGCCACTTAAAGAAAGATTTGGGTTTGGAAGGTGGCTCAGTGGTTCAGTGCTTGCCTAGCATGCATGAAGCCCTAGGTTGGATTCCTCAGTACCACATGAACAGAAAAAGCTGCAAGTGGTGCTGTGGCTTAATTGGTGGAGTGCTCTCCTTGACTAAAAAGAAGCTCAGGGACAGCGCCCAGACCCTGAATTCAAGCCCTAGCACAAGAAAGGAGGGCTAGGGAAAGAAGGATTTATTTTCAGTTCACGGTCGCTTGCCCCACTGCTTTGAGCCTGTGGTTAGACAGAACATCATAGCAGGGTTGAAAGGAAAAGAGAGACAGAGACAGAGAGAAAAGGAGTTGTGTCTTAGTGTGGCTCCAGTGACCTTCCACTAGTCCCCACCCCTCCCAAGAGCGCCACACGCTGGCACACAAGTCTCCAGTACATGGCCTTTTGGGGACATTTAAAACTCAAACCACAAGAGGAAGACTGATGGGACGAATGCCCACTCTCATCCAGTCTGACCCCACCATAGCTCGATTTCATCTGCAAAGATCCTGGTTTCCTAGGGCTGTGGGTGCCCGTGGATTTGGGGGGTTCCCGGGAGGCAAGCTCACAAGGGATTTTGGAGCCTCAGGTCCTCAGTGTCTGCTCCATCCTTCAGCAAAATGCATCGTTTCCCACAGAAGGCAACTGGTTCAGGGTACTCTGGGTGGAGCGGGGGACTCGGGCAGGCCTCCGTGCCTCCCTCCTGGACCATCCGAGCTGTGCCCCACACAGTCCCCGCAGAGCGCTTAGGCTTGCCTGCTCTCTGACCTCTTGGAGAACTGGGGGGAATCCACACCCACTGTGTGCAGAGCCCGGCACACAGTAGGTGTTCAATAAATGTGACTTCAGTATGTCCACTCTGTTCTTCCCTTCCCCGTCCTCCGCCCGCCTTCCTCCAGTCCCAGCTCTGGTGGGACCTGAGTGTCACGTCCAGCCGCGAGCTGGCCGACAGCTTCCGCTCCAGCAGCCCGGTGCCTCCCAGCCAGCAGTCCCTGTACAAGCGGGTGGCGGAGGACTTCTGGGAAGACCCCGAGTCGGTCAGGTAGAGTGAGGGGCAGCCTCGGGGCAGACCGTGGACCATATGGGCATTCACACAGCAGCTCCAGGAGGCCCCAGGAGCCCAGGCTCTGCAGGAGGGGGCCAAGCAGTGTGAACTGGCTCTCTGTGCTTTGCAGCCCCTTCCCAGACACCCTGGAGGCGGACCTCGGGGCGTCTCTAGGAGACAAGGATGACACAGACCTGGGTTATGAGATCCTGGACAAGACGGGTGAGTATGATCATCCCACCTGAATCCCTCCCACCCCCGCAATGGCTAGCAGAGTGGGGAGGGGAAATGGGCTGGGACAGGCCGGGAGGCAGGCCAGACAGCCTGGGTGGGTCTCCGAGGAACAGGGAGGCAGAAGTGAACTTGACCTGTGCCCTTGCCTTGATCTCGGCCCCTGGGAAAATGCAGGCTACTTAGTGTCTCAAGTCCAAAGAGTCACGTTGACCCCTGACCCCCTCCCTGCTCTGCTCTGGGCACGCTGGGCCTCCGGGGGACCTGGGCCCCACGAGTGAGCACTCAGTTGTTTCTAGGAGAGATGGATTACGCGGGCTGGCGTCCACCTGCTGGGAGCCTCCCTCCTTGGCCCCTGACCCACCTGGTCCATTTTCCCAAGGCCATGGGCCTTTCAGGAATGCCCTTTATCCTTTCCTCCTCTGCTCTGCACACCGCAGGTTCTCAGCTCCTGCCTGGAGTTCTCCTCATGGTCGCCAGGGGGCATGAGGGCCTCATACTGTTCTGCCCAGGGTTGCTTGTGTTCCTCTGTGAGTCAGGCAACCAGAAACACTAATCCTCACGGACTCACATTTGTTTGTTTGTTTAATCTATCTATTTATCTATTTAGTGCCGGTCCTCAGGGCCTAAGAGTTGCCCCTGGACTTTCTTTTTGCTCGAGGTTTACACTTTACCACTTGAACCACAACTCCACTTCTGGCTTTTTCAGTGGCTAATTGGAGCTAAGAGTATTTCAGCTGGGAGCCATTGGCTCCTGCCTGTAATCCTAGCTACTAAGGAAGCTGAGATCTAAAGATTACAGTTCAAAGCCAGCACAGGTAGGAAAGTCCATGCAGTTAATCACCAGAAAACTGGAAGTGGCGCTGTGGCTCAAAGTAGTAGAGTGCTAGCCTTGAACAAAAATGCTCAGAGACAGCATCCAGTCCCTGAGTTTAAGCCCTACACCTGACCAAAAAAAAAAGTGTTTCACAGACTTTCCTGTCTGGGCTGGCTTTGAACATCATCCTCAAATCTCAGCCTCTTAGGTAGCTAGGATTACAGGCATGAGCCACTGGTGCCCAACTTCAACTCATTTTTATTTGTGACACTTACATGTTGAGTACATCCACCCAAAGGCAAATCGATCCTGGACGTGAGGCTATGAACAGAGAAACCTTGTTATTTTGGCTTTCTCCCCCACCCCCCGGTACAGGAGTTTGACTCCAGGGCCTCATGATTGTTGCTTGGCTGGCATTCTATTGCTTCATCCATAACACCAGCTGAGTTTTTTTGCTGGTGATTTTGGAACTGAACTCTTGCAGACTTTTCTGCCCCGCTGGCTTAATCCTTTGCATTTTAGCTTCTTGGGTAACTAGGATTACAGGCCTGAGCCACTGGTGTCCTGCTGCTGCTGCTGCTGCTGCTGCAGCTGCTGTTGCTGCTGCTGTTGCTGCTGCTCCTCATCCTCATCCTCCTCTTCCTTCTCCTTCATCTTCTTCTTTTGGTCAGTTGTGGGGCTTGAACTCAGCACCTGGGCACTTCTTTTTGCTCAAGGTTAGCACTTGAGCTACAGCACTTCTGGCTTTTTCTGCTTATGTGGTTCTGAGGAATGGAATCCAGGGCCTCATGCATGCAAGGCAAGCGCTCTACCACTGAGCCACCTTCCCAGCCCTAGCGGATTTTTTGTGTGTGTTCTAGTACTGGGATTGCACTCTGGGCCTTGTGATTGTCAGGCAGACCACTCAGCCCAAACAACAGATTTGATTTTTAAGTGAATCCAGAAATGTAGACTCGGGGTGACATCTCCCAGTCTTTCACGTTGTTGGAGACTTGTTCACATATCCGGAAATGCCAGGGCCCATTCTCACTAGTCACTGCGACTTGGAGAGATGACATCAAGGTTTGAGCAGAGAAGGAGGAGGAGGAGGGTGGGCAAGGCCGGGTGGACAGGCCAAGGTTGTCTGGGTTGAGCAGGGTCAGCAGCAGGGTGACCCAAGCTCTGGCCACTGGCTCCCTGCTTCCTCCCAGACCTCCCCCAGCCAGAGGGCAGCCTGCAGAGGTCTGCCAGAAGCTTGGATGTGCCAGAAAGGTGAGCTGTGACTGGGGAGCCAGAGCCCAGGGCAGCGCCTGACAGCGTCCTGTCCCCACGGGGGCGCGGCCTTTCTGAGAGGGCGGAGGGGCGGTGGCGCCACGGCCTGCTGGCCTCCTGCCCTGGCGGTGCGGTGCTGCGCTGCAGCCGGCCACCTCCTGGTCTCGGCAGCGCCCCTGTGCGGCGGAGGCCCGCCCGCAAGATCCTGAGCCAGGTCACCGTGCTGGCGTTCCAGGGCGCCGCGCTGCTCAAGCAGCTGCGCGTCGTCGGAGGGAACCTCACGGGCATCTTCATCCACCACGTCACCCCTGGCTCCGCCGCCGACGGCATGGCCCTGCGCCCCGGCACCCAGATCATCATGGTGAGTAGGTGTGCGTGGCCTGGGCAGCCGCCAGACCGCTAGGGGCCCGCGGGGACAGCGCGGGAACATTGAGGGGCCGAGCACGGGGACATCGGTGAAGTCTCGGATCTGGGAGCCCTAGTGCAGTGTTACACCCACTTATGGAAGCGGGTGGTGTGGTGTGGACGAGAACCCCAGGAGCTGGGAAGGCTGTACATGCCAGGAGGCTGTTAGAATGTGAAATCCTCCCTCCCTCTCTCCTCTTCCTTCCTTCTCCTTTTTCTTTCTTCTTCCTTCTCTCTTCTCTCTTCCTGCCTTCTTTTTTCTTCTGTTTGACTTAGTTTTATCTCCCTGCTCCTTTTTGGTGCAGTACTGGGGCTTGAACTCAGAGCCTGGGCACTGTCCCTTAGCTTTTTCTGCTTGAAGTTGGCACTCTACCACTAGAGCCACAGCTCCACTTCCGTACAAAGGAGCTGCCATTCAACGAGGCAGGTTATAACTGCGTGTCCCCATCCAGCATTCTCGCCTCTCCCTCCCAACCCAGCCCTCCTTTCACCTTTCTTACATTTTGTAGGATAGAGCCCCCCCTCCTTAACTGCACTACTTCCAGCTTTTGGGTGGTTAGAGATTAAGAGTCTCATGGACTTGCCTTCCTGGGCTGGCTTCAAACAACAGGCCTCAGATCTCAGCCTCCTGAGTAGCTCAGACTATAGGTGCGAGCCTCTGGCACCCAGGTCATGTTGTAATTTTTATCTTGTTATAAAAGTGCATAGCCTCAGGGCTGGGAAGGTGGCTCAGTGGTAGAGTGCTCGCCTCGCATGCATGAGGCCCTGGGTTTGATTCCTCAGCACCACATAAGCAGAAGAAGCTGGAAGTGGTGCTGTGGCTCATGTGGTAGAGCGCTAGCCTTGAGCTGAAGAGCTGAGGGACAGCACCCAGGCCCAAAGTTCAAGACCTATGACCAACAACAACAAAAACAAAGTACATAGCCTCCTGAACTTAACTCAGGGAATGAGAGGAGTGGGCAGGGCAGCCCTGTGTGGGTGGGCACGTGGGCACTGAGTAGAGGAGGGTGGCGTGTGCCATGTGGCACAGCTCAGGAGAGCCTCCAAAATTAACAGTCCCACGGCTGAGAAATCTTGATCTGGAATGATCTAGAATATTCTAGAACCAAGTTCAGTTCTCTGAAGAGGGAAGTGACTGGCCGCTGGAGGGCAGAGGTGGCTGATCGTTGAGTGGGCCGGCGTGTCACTGCATCGTCCTTATTGTTACCTAGGGAGACAGGGAGTCCTCCTTCTGACGTCCTTTAGGATGGACGAGAGCCACAGCAGACAGATGGGAAAGGGCCTGAATCAGTTTTTTTTTTTTTTTTTGTCGGTTGTGGGGCTTGAACTCTGGGCCTTGGGCGCTGTCCCTCAGCTCTTCAGCTCAAGGCGAGCGCTCTACCACTTGAGCCACAGCGCCACTTCTGGTTTTCTGGTGGCTTATTGGAGATAGGAGTCTCACGGTCTCTCCTGCCCAGGCTGGCTTTGAACCGCGATCCTCAGATCTCAGCCTCCTGAGTAGCTAGGATGACAGGCGTGAGCCACCAGCGCCCGGCGGCCTGAATCAGTTTTAAACTAAGGCGGGCATAACCACAGGATGCCCTTTGTAGACAGGAACCGCATTCTTTCCAGATTGCCTCGTGACAATGGGCAAGGAGGGGGCATCCGTGGAGCCAGCACGAATGGCGGTCCTTTGCCCTTTTGCCGAGTGGAGGCCCTAGTGAGGGCCACTAGTTCAGCCTTTTGGGACATTGTTCCCCGGGGAGGCGCTGGGCCTCTCCTGCCGGCCCTTGGCTGGAGGCCTGTCTCTCCCCTGGGAATCCACTCCCTTACTTTGGAGGTGATTAATAACCGGCCACAGGCTCTGGCGGTTTTTCGGGGTGGGAACTTGAGATGGAGCGGGTCTTTTTGGTGGGTGAGAAGAGGCTGATGGTGTTGCCACCCGAGGGGCGGAGGTGTCCCACACCATGGGATCCACCGAATCAGGAGGGGGGGGGACATTGAGGGACAGAACTAATAACAGAGGGGCTGCCGGAGCCAAATCAGGAGTCCGCGGGTCAAGGTGGCATGTAACCTAACAAGTACGTCTCGCCCCCGGAGGGCAGGAGGGCATAGCCAGGAAGGAATGGAAAAACGGCCGGTCATGGCCGGTGCTAGGCGGTAAGTTGGCACTGGAGTGAGGCTGGAGGTCATGGGGCAGGGGCCTACGCACCACGCCCTGCAGTGCGCCAGTCCGGACTCTGCATATCACAGCCAACTAAACTTCATACCAGCTCTACTCATAAGCTCCATTTTTTTTGGGGGGGTCCGGTCGCGGGGCCTGAACTCTGGGCCTGGACGCTGTCCCTCAGCTCTTCAGCTCAAGGCTAGCGCTCTAGCACTTGAGCCACAGCGCCACTTCCGGCTTTTTTGCTTTTTGCTTATGTGATGCTGAGGAATCGAACCCAGGGCCTCTGGCTTGCAAGGCAAGCGCTCTACCACTGAGCCACCTTCCCAGCCCATAAGCTCCATTTTTAAGACATACTCACGGCATGTGCTACATGCTGAACCTTTCTGAACAGCGGCCTCTGCCCTCAGCGGCCAGTCAGGAAGTGCGTCTCTCAAGGAAACAGGGCTGGGTGGGGACGGGTTGATGGGTGGGCGGTGGGCTGGGCGGGGACAGGTTGATGGGTGAGTGGTGGGCTGGGTGGGGACGGGTTGATGGGTGAGTGGTGGGCTGGGTGGGGACGGGTTGATGGGTGAGCGGTGGGCTGGGTGGGGACGGGTTGATGGGTGAGCGGATGTGGCCTGCATCGCACAGCTGGAAGACGTTGACGGCTGTCCCCACACCCAGCCGGTGTGTGACGTGGTGCTGTGGCCGCGGTGCAGGGGTCTCAGTGAGGGCGGAGGGTCTGTCCCCTGGGTTGCGCCGCGCGTGCATTCCTGAGCTCAGACGGCCTGCAGCAAGGCCCCTCCCCCCTCAGGTGGACCATGAGGCAGCAGAGCCCTCGTTCAAGGCCACGCTGGAGAACACGACCCTAGAGCAGGCGGTCCGGCTCCTCCAGAGGGTCAACGGCTTCTGCTGCCTTTCTGTGAAGGTCAACACTGAGGGTACAGGCGCCAACACATGCCATGACCTTGGCCCCCACCCCTGCCCCGCGACGGGTCCCCGGGCCTCCCCAGAGCCCGAGGCGCCCGGCTGGGCTCGCTCTGCATCCCCCCCAGCCCGGCTCTCTCTGGGTCCCCACATCTCCCCCATGGTCCCAGCAGCCTTGGGCTAATGTGGCCTCCACCGTGGGGACCCCTCCCTCTGTCCTCTGTTGGCTCCGGGCCGGGGCTCACTGAGCCGACATGGGCTCATTTATCAGGTTACAAGAAGCTGGTCCAGGACCTGGAAGCCAAAGTGGTGACATCGGGAGACTCCTTCTACATCCGGGTCAACCTGGCCCTGCCGGGGCGGGGGGAGGGGGAGCTGCCCGTGCACTGCAATGACACGCTGCACGTCACGGACACCATGTTCCAGGGCCGCGGCTGCTGGCTGGCCCACCGCCTGGACCCCTACAGCATGCAGCACACCGACCACGGCACCATCCCCAACTACCCGGGGTGAGAGAGCCACGGCCCACCCCGGCCCAGGGGGAGGCGGGGCCTTCCAGACATTTCCCTCCCCCTCCCCCACCCCCAGCAGAGCCCAGCTGGAGAACGGGGGTGGGGGGAGGGATGGATGTCCTGTAGAAGAACCACCAAGTCAGTGCCCAGGACCAGGTAGCTGACTGATGGGTCTCTGGCTCCAACACAGGACTTGGGGTCTCTAGAACATTCTAGCTGGCCTTCTTGGCCCTGGCTCTGCTGATGTGGGCGGCTCGTGGGTGTCACACAGCCTCCCAGCCTCCACTTGCCAGTGTGACAACCAGAAATGGCTCCACACCACCCAGGGTCCCCTGCGGCCAGGCTGCCCGCCGGGACTGCGAGGCCCTGTGTCCAGGGCGGCCCCTGGGCGGGCACGCTGGACAGTTCCCAGCTTCCCCTCACCTGCCCAGCAGCCTGCGGAAACCCACGCACTGAAGCACCCCCCCCCACCCCGCGTCTCCCCGCTGCTCACCTTCGGTCCCCTGGGGCTGCACTCAGCGGGTCCATGGTCCAGTCAGCATCTGTCGGGTGGGCTGAGCCCGGGGACCGTGCGGGCCCCACAGCCACGGCCAGGGCAGGTGGACGGCTCTCCGGGGCCCCTGTCCCTGACAGCAAATCCCCCGTCTGTCCTCCCAGGGCTCAGCAGCAGCTGCTCACCCTCATCCAAGACATGACCCAGAGGGGGCCTGCCCGCAAGGTGAGCTCTGGAGGGAGGCCCTGGCCTCGCGGGGGAGGCTGACCGGAGTGGGGTGCAGGGCAGTGTCTGTCCCCCATGGGCCCACCACGCCGTGCTGGCGTCTGCGCAGCCCGCCGGCTCCGGGAAACGGACCTGCTCTCAGGAGCGCTGTGCCGCGCCTCCCCGTCCCCTTTCTGTCGCTCGCCCCCCCCCAGGACGCAGGATGAGTGCCAGCCAGGCGCCCTCTGTGCTGGGGAGGCTGCTGCGCCCGCTGCCCCGCAGGCGCCCTTCCCTGCCCATCCTGCTTGAGGCTGTCCCCCCACCTCTGTGGTTTTGACAGGAGTGGGGTTGTGTCTGGGCGGAGTGGGGGTTCCGGGCCCAGATCTGCCATGACCGCCTCTGTGACTTCTGTGACCACTCCTCGGCCCCTCCCCCCTCGCTCCTCACAGTCCCCCGGGGGGCCTCAGAAGCTGGTCCGCATTGTCAGCGTGGATGGAGCCAAGGCCGGCCCGCTGTGTGCGCCCTTTGCTGAGAGCCAGCTGGACACGGGCAGGGTGGAAGGTGAGGCCGGCTCCACACCAGTCAGGGGTCTGGCACACTAGTTTTGTTGGAGGGGAAATTGGTACTGGGGTCTGAACTCAGGGCCTCTTTTGCTTTGTTACCTTTGTGTGTGTGTGTGTGTGTGCACACATGCGCACACTACTCCTGGGACTTGAACTCAGGGCCTGGGCGCTGTCCCTGAGCTTAAAAGAAGCCCAAGGTGAGTGTCCCACCACTTGAGCCACAGCTCCACTTCCAGCTGTTTTGGTAGTTTAGTGGAAATAAGAGTCTCACAAGTGCCTGGCGCTGGTGGCTCACGCCTGTAATCCTAGCTACTCAGGAGGCTGAGATCTGAGGATCTCGGTTCAAAGCCAGCCCGGGCAGGAGAGACCGT